TAAGATAATCGCAGTGATTGGATTCATATCGTATAGAACTTCAAAATCAATTCAACTTGTGGTACAACTAGGTGTGTGGTAAGCAAATTAAACATGTTCCAAAACCAAGTCACTATTTTATATCCGACTTCATCGTAGTTCTCAAAAGCTTCTGTGATTGCTTATTGATTACCTCAGCCTAGTTATGAATTTATGGACATAACGTAGTGTTTAACTCTAACAAAATGTCATTTTTTTTATCCAAATTGTTCGCCAAAAGTGACTCGTGAACTTTACATCACAATTTGTGGTAGTGGCATTCAGAACTCCATGAAGCCTTGAAATTTCTCTGGAATAAAGATGTGTAACATGAGAAGTATCCATGTTTTTATTACAAGGAATTAGGTAGTAAAAGAACCGAAAGAACAAGAACGAGGGCTTGTTCATGTTCTTTCAGTTAATTTAGTTGAACAAATAAATGAACAAGAACATATAAACAAACTAGTTTTCTTATTCATGTTCGTTCGTTTAGCAAATTATATTGTTAATGTTCGTTTGCTTATGTTCGTAAATATGCTAAACGGACATAAACAAACGAACATAAACGAACGGAGATGAACAAACATAATTGAACATACAAAATTATAAATTAATATTTAATATAATAATTTAATCAATCACATTTGAACATATATGAACATAAAAGAAAATTAAATGAGCGTTCACAAACATAATTTGACGAACGTGATCATTGTTCATGTTCGTCCGTTTAACTAAACGAACAATAATTTGTGTTTATGTTTGTTCATTTATTAAATAAACAAATATAAATGAACTTCAAGTTGAATGCTTCATGAACAGTTCATTCGATGAACGTTTGGTTTGTTTATATCATTACAAGGAACAAGGTGAGCCAATTAAAAGAATCGTACAACAATCACCATGATAGAATCTTTGTTTCTTTGCCTACGATGCAACCTAAGAACAAAAATCATGTTAACATATTTCCATGGAGAATTTAGAATATGAAGAGGGTGTACGGACCTATCTTTTGACCATGACTTTTATCTTCATGACACGTGACACCACACTCGATGAGTTTCATAATATATTTTCCCATTTTAAACCAAAATATTTTTTATTGAAGGTTTTCTAGTATCTTATTTATCCCAAAATAAATAGCAACCACTCCTTTGTATATCTCTCGAATAATTTTTTCTTGTAAAGTGTATCGAGGAATGTATAATCGGTTATCTTTGAAAAGAAAACCTTTATGTTGTTAGAAATCACCAGTGGTAACCTTTAAACAACTTCTTAATGCCAAACCGAAGTTATAAATATTTTTCATAATAATCTTTGATTACTGCAAATCGTAGCAATGTATCCTCTATAGACATAAACAAACGTTCATTCTGTTTAAACCATCAACAACTTTACACAGTTTCCAACTTTATTTTGAGGGAAAATAATATGTTTAGAGAACCCAACCCATTTTGGATGACAACGATTGAGTTTATGTTGACATTTACACACTCGCATGTATTGTGTTTTTAAAAAGAAAAAAAACTCATTAGGTAGAAAATTGTGATTCAGATGCTCGAGAGCCCAAATGATGGTATAAATCTCTTCATCGTAAGTGGAAATGTTTTGTTTGGCTTCATTCAAATATCACTTTGAAATGAAACCGCATTTCCACATTGATTAAGGACTTTAACAAACCCACATCTAAACCATCATATTATAATTTAAATATCTTCTTAAAATATGGAAGTAAAAAATATAAGCAGCTGACATCTTTGATTTAATGAGATAAAACTCTTTTTAGCTTCGTCAATCCACTAAAACAGATTTCGCTTCAAGCACTCATTTATACAAGCAACAAGAGGAATATGTGGAAAAATGACACCAATCCATGAAATCTTCGGACATGATGGATATTTTTAATCAGTCCAACTCGAGATGGTCTCCAACTTTTCATCATCAACTTGATCCATGTGGAAGTCACAACTTACAAAATAAATAAATAATAAAAATCTATTAGTAAAGAGATTGCAATTTGTTAGGTCGACATACAACTTGTTGTCTCATAGAATATGCGACACTTCGTTTATATAGTTGTTTCTCATGTCCTACAACTTGTTGTGTCTTAAAAATTAGAAAATTTGAAGATCTATCTTTGAAAACATCATATCTCCAAATAAATTATCTATAAGATCATCAAGCCGAAGCAATACCAACCCTATGAATCTCCAATGTCTCACTTCAAGATAAGTTCGTGATAAAAGAGTTCTTTCGTCCCCATTATCATATGATAGAAAAACACGTAGATTTGATGGTGTTAGAACCACCCCAAACACTACCTATCATGAAATAGTATGTATTTTTGTATTCAACATCAGTAACTCCTCGGTCATATTGCCAAGACTTCCCTAAAAATAAATCATAGGTAAAACATTACACCAAATCTCATATATATATATATATATATATATATATATATATATATATATATATATATATATATATATA